AAAGACTAGAAGAAGATGGATTCCCTTTCGGGGGAGTGCCTCATAAATAACAGCATGGACTTCTCGGCATAGGTAACAATCTCGCTCTTTTCTATATTTTCCAAATTTATGTTTCAAATAATAACCTTGATTTTATCCCTTCTCAGGCCAACTTTCTTTCCTTCGAGGGCCTGTAGAGGCTCATTCTGGACAAGCAAGAGCTTTCTTTGGAGCGAGACCGATTGTTGGCTGAGTGCAATCAATTCGTTAAGCACCTCCCATTGATGGAGGCCAAAGTTGCACAAATGGATGAGATTGAGAACCGTCTACAGCAGTCGGATCAAGATAGGATGGTTAAACTAAGAAACTGTCCAACATCATGAAAATTTAAAAGAAGCAAAGGCTAAGTGGGCTGAGCTTCATGATTCCGTGACTACTGCCGCTGAACGTGAATTAGCCTTCATGGAAAATTTTAGTAACTTGGAGGCTAGTTTGTGTGCCAAAACCTAAGGAGGCCAATGTTATCAAGGAGAAGAGGGCGAAAATGGAAGAAAGGCTCAAGAGGGTCATGGAGCAAAACCGGCTTCACTCAACTACAAATGTTGAGCTTGATTCCCAACTCAGCGCAATAAAGGCTGAAAGTGAAGAGCTTCAGGCCGAAATTGATATGCTCCAAGCAAAACTCTAGAATCAAGAAGATTCCCTCATCTTCGAGAAGACCTATTCTATGTACCATATGAAGAGGAAGACTTTGGAGAAGGATAAAGCGGGCACTGCCAATATTGACGATTGCATTGTCCAAGCTCGAAAAATGGAGTTAGATGCTCCTGAAACTTCCTGCTCGGCCTACTGCAACTGACTACTCGAATACTAGTTCCGAGTATTCAAGAACAAAAGGGAAGACCGTAGAAGATGAAGGCCCCGAACAGGCAGGGGAACAACCTCATTCCACCAGGTAAAATAAAGCCTTTCTCCCCCTTCAGGTTTTGGCAGCAAAGAATAATGTATAATGTTTTATTTTATCCTTTGAAATATGACAAATTTTTTTATTGAGTTTTGCACTTTAATAAAAGAATTTTTTGCTTAAGTGTTGTTCAAAAATATTCTTTTTACGGTTACTTGATAAAGCTTCGGGTATATTTTTTTGTCCGATATTTTTTGATTCCAAGCGTAAACACTTCTGTAATCTATCATTTACTGTGAGGGTTTCATAAGAGAGGACCCTTATGTTAACAGTGCTCTTGAAGAGGACGTCTCATATTCATTACGGTACAAGCATTTGAAGTTTTTGTTAACTCTCAAATGACAAAATAAATTAACTTATCATTTGGACAAGAAATAAGACAAGAATAAAAAGGACTTTGATTTATTCCTTTCTATCTTTAAGAATGCATTCATATAAACATTAATTTTCTTAAGTAAATAAATCTACCAATGCATGTGGCTAACTTGTACAACTTATTTTTACAGTACTGATCATGCAGTCCCCAGTCCAAGACACTGATCCTGGTTCTTGCAGTCCCCAATTTTCTTGGTACTCTTGATGTCGTATCATAAATGACCCCTAGCATTCGAATGCTAAGCTTGAGAATTTGAACACGGAAAGTCTTGTATTCATATTGTTGCTTCAATGGTGGAGACAACTTGCGAATGGTTAAATAATATTTTTGAATAGTGGAAAGTGAGGGCATCGAGCCAAAGACTATTTAATCATCCACAAGCTATTTAGCACACGAGCTCGTATCCGTCGATCCCTTGGTGTGAGAACTTTAGTTCCTTGATATTTTAACGAGGTTTTTACTTTGCCAATGACCCTCCCTTTGTAGTATGTTTTACATCATTTCCTGAATTAAAACCATGCTTGAAAAACTCGATCGGGACAAAAACTAGTTGAAGAAAAAAATGCAGCACATACTTTCAGTATCAGGAGGAATCAACATCAATATTACCTATTAAGGTGAGTCGCGTTCCAATTTTTGGGAACTTTTACTCCATCTAGATTTTCCAATTCATATGATCCTTTACTAGTGATAGCTAAAGCCTAGTAAGGCCCCATGTTGATCCCACCTTCCCGATGTAACTTCCCGAGTGCTTTGAGTTACATTCCTCATAACCAAATCTCCAACTTTAAAATAACGGAGATTTGCCTTGTGATTGTAATACCTTTCCATCATTTGCTTCTTCGTTCACTCGGGAAAACCTCAAAGTCGGCTCCCCTACCTCCACCGGTATCAAAGCCTCCGAGCCATATACAATTGAAAAGGGAGTTTCTCCCATTGACTTTTCTATGGTCCAGTATGCCCACAGCACCCGCGGTAGCTCATCTGGCCAGTTTCCCTTAGAATCTTCTAACTTCTATTTAATATTTTGAATGATTATCTTGTTGGTCGGCTCCGCCTGCCCGTTAGCGCTCGGGGTGGTACGGTGAGGAAGTAATTCGTTTGATCTTTAACCCTTCCAAGAAATTTGTTACTTTTGAACCTACGAACTGCATCCCGTTGTCATAGTAATCTCCTTCAGTATTCTGAATCGGCTGATTATGTGGTCCCATATGAAGTCAACCACTTCGCATTCTCTGATATTTATGTGGACCTACTTTAACCCATTTAGTGAAGTAATTAGTTAAAACTAAAGGAATCTTACCTTCCTAGGTATTGGTAGTAAAAGACCAACTATGTCCATCCCCCATTTCATGAATGGAAACGATGACACAATCGATTAGAAAGTTCTGCTGGTTGACATACCAACTGTGCATGACGCTGACATTTGTCGCATTTTTGTACAAATGCCTTTGCGCCTTGTTCCATCCCGGGAAAATAATATCCAACCCTGACCAACTTGAGAACTAACAAGTCTGCACCAAAATTGTTTCTGCAGACTCATTTATGGACTTCTCTCTTCGCATAGTCTGCCTCTAAGGCCATAAGGCACCGAGCCATTGGTCCATGGAATGATCTCCTGCATAACTGTCTATCAACGAGGCAGTAGCGAGCTGCCTTGGTCCGTAGTGCCCAGGACACTTTTAGGTCTTCGGGCCATTTATCATGTCTGGGATATTTAGTGAACTCGTTCCTCTAGTCCCAAATTAATTTGGTTGAATTTACTTCACAGTAGCCCTCCACATCAAACGCCAAATGCAGCAATTGGACGAACGTACCAGAATCAGATCCTTTCATCTTCGTGGACGACCCCAAATTCGCCAATGCATCTACTTCCACATTTTCTTCCCTCGGAATGTGGACGATTGACCATTCTATGAATCATGCAAGTAATGCTTGAACCTTATTCAAGTAGTATTGCATGTGTTCCTCATTTGTGTCGAAAATACCATACATTTGGTTTACCGCCAATTGGAATTCACACTTTGTCTCGATGACCTCGGAACCTAGCCCCCGGGCTAGTTCAAGTTCTATAACTAAAGCCTTATACTCAGCTTCATTATTAGTTAATGGTATAATTCTAATGGCTTGTGATCTACGTCCAATCCGCACTCAATAGTAAGTGAAAACGATTGTTGGAAAAATAGTACCCAACAAGAGTCGGGGTCGATTTCCACTATGGGCGTTAGGGGGTATACACTTGACGAAAGCAAATGGAACAACTAAATTGCACTTCAAAACAAAGGGTTTCGATTTCTAATTCTAATTTTACTCTAACAATTATAAGCTAAGAGGAGAAACCAGAAAGCTAATGATTATTTTTAGTGTTTTTCCAAATAGTTAAAAATCCTAGGGATGTGACCTTAACCTAGGTGTTCGCCTAATGGGTTTAATACGGTAACACATTTTTTGTAGATTAGGCTGTATTATAGCTCTCAACTCTACGTTACCCACTCAATACCTCCCGGTCATTGAGTGATTTTGCCCTATTTGGCTTTCTCAAGACAAAATAGGTATCAAACTAAATAGTTGATATGATCTCAAGTCGGGTTCTCACTATCTCTAGTTTGAACCCTTTAATTACGCTAATTAAATCCTTAATTAGCCCTAATCCTTATTAGCCAAGTTATCTTATACTAGGTCCCTCTTTCTCAAGTAAAGACCAAGTCAAATCAATATTTGCAAGCATTAATTCTAAAATTAAAGAAAAAACTAGGCAAAATAACCAACACCCAATCATAAATAAGCATTAGATTACCATAGGGTTTACACACTAGGTTTGGGTCAAAACCCTAGTAAGAATCTAGCTACTCATAATGAGAAATGAAGAAAACAAAGAAGAAATGCTAATTAAACTCATAATCATAGATTAAAATGATAAAAAATATGACATTTAAATCCTAAATTCGTCAAGAACTTCCTAAAATAGCAAAATACAACAGCTCAAACTTCGAAATTTGACCAAAAATGTGATTATCGTCTAGTTATAGTGGCCCAAAATTCTCTAACAAAAATGCCCCTCTAGAGGTTCTACGGCCGCAAAATTCCATGTGCGGCCCGCATATTTTTTCAGCTGGCAGGGTCTTGGATTCTGAAGTTGCACAATTTTGGTCTGCGGCTGCAAAGCATCTTCTGTGGTCGCACAATTCTTGTGCGGTCCGCACTTCAGGCAATGCTTTAAGTCTTTGTCTTTTGCATACTCTCTGAACTTTGAATTCTTTTTAAATGCAGAACTTGTTCTGTGGCCGCAAAATTCATGCGCAGTCTGCAGGTCAACTAAAACTCTTCTGGGCTTCTTCACTTGTTCTGTGGCCGCAAAGGGAATTCTGCGGTCCGCACTTTCTTCTTTGGACTGCGCTTCTTATGTTCTGTCCCCTTCTTGCCTTGTGAGTCAGAATACTCCTTTTTGAGTCGGATTTCATTATGGGAGCCCAAACTTCCAACATTCCTGCAATTAGCACACTTACATTAGTTTTGGGAACATAAATCAATATTTTTGGACTACACCAAAACCAAAAAGGTGCTAATAAGAGGTCATAATCCACACTTATCAGCCTACCTTAGGGTCTCTCCCGAAGGTGTGATTAAAAATACTCTGAGACATGATCCTTTTATGTTGGAGGCTTTATCCGTAAACAAGGTTCAAACTCCCAATATAGTTCCCGACACCAACACTGCTTCCTTAGCAACCAAAGGCATTACTCTTGAACCAAAATCAGCCACGAAATCTGCCAAAACTTGTGACTTAATTGCAGTCCTCGATTTATATTCAATTTTGAATTCGCTAACTTCGACCATCCACTTAGACAAATGGCCTAACAACATAGGCTTCTCAAGGACATTCCTTAATAGAAAGGTTATCACAACATCTATTAGTAACACTGATAATAAGGCCTAAGCTTCCAAGTGGCAACTATGAGAGCTAAGGCCAGCTTTTCTAGGTGAGGATAAGGAGTTTTCGCTCCTGATAATATTTTACTAATGTAATAAATAGAAAATTTCATACCTTCTTCTTCTCGGATCAAAACGGCACTTACCGCTACTTCAGAGACCGCAAGATAATTAGCAGCTGCTTGCCTTCCCCCAATTTTGATAATAACGTGGAGCTAGATAGATACCTTTTTATGTCCTTTAGTGCTTGTTGGCATTCTGGAGTGCATGCAAAGTCGTTCTTCTTTTTCAAAAGTGAAAAGAAGCGGTAGAATTTTTCCGAGGACCTTGAGATGAATCTGCTGAGAGCAGCAAACCTGCCGGTAAGGCTCTGTACTTCCTTCACACTTGTCATTTGGTCTGGGATATCCTTGATGGCTTTGATATTATTAGGATTTACCTCGATCCCTCTTTGCGAGAGCAGGAACCCCAAGAATTTACCGGAGCCAACCCCGAAGGCAAATTTCTCCGGGTTGAGTTTCATATTATGCTTCCGCAAGATCTCCAAATTTTCTTGGAGATGTTTCAGATGATATCCTACAATTAAAGACTTAACTAACATGTCATCAATATAAACTTCCATCATTTTGCCTATTTGATTCTCAAACATCTTATTAAAGAATCTCTGATAAGTGGCTCTGGCGTTTTTAAGCCCAAAAGGCATCACATTATAACAATATGTGCCAAAGTTTGTTATGAAAGAATTTTTTTCTTGATCCTCCGGGTTCATGATCTGATTGTACCTGGACTGAGTATCTAGGAAACTCAGTAGCTTGTGCCCATTCGTAGTATCAATCGTTCGATCAACGTTCAACAATAGGAATGAGTTTTTGGGGCACGCTTATTTAGATCCTTATAGTCTACGCACATCCTAAATTTGTTTTTCTTCTTAGGTACTACAACTACGCTGACTAACCATTCTGGGTACTTTACCTCTAGAATCAAACCGATGTTAAGTAGTCGGGTTACCTTTTCCTTAACAAACTTGTTACTGACCTCTGCTATCGAGCACTTCTTTTGCCTTACCGGTGGGAAGTTTGGATCCAGACTTAGTTTGTGGACCGCTATCTCCAATATGATACCTTTATATCCGAGTGCAACCACGCAAAGTAGTTTAACTTTAAGAAAATTTATAAACTCTAACCTAAGCTCGGTATTTAATCCAGTCCCCAAATGAAACATTCTATCCAAAAACTCCTCGAACAAAGCCACTTGCTCGAGCTCTTCCATAGTTGACTTGGTCGCATCCATCTCCTCTAGTACCTGAAAACACCTCGGAACCTAGTAAGATTCCGATGACTCCTCGCCTTTATCATCTTTATTCTAAAAGGGAGAAAGTATCGGTTCCTATAATTTCTACTTGTTGGGTTCTTTTCCTTTGCTGCTAGAAACGGTCACCGCGTTCATCTCCCTTGATGCCGGTTGGTCTCCTCTTATCTGCTTGATCCTTTCTGACATAAAAGTTTTTAGCAATTGGTGATATGTCTAGGGCACAACCTTTATCTTGTGTATCCACGACTTTTCGAGGATTACTTTATAGCCCATGTCGTCATCTACCACTTCGAACATAGTGGTCTTTGTTACACCTTCGGCGTGAGTGGGTAACAAAATCTCTCCTCGGGTTGTCACGCTTGTCAGGCTGATTCAAGCTAGTAGCTTTTTTGCTGGAATGATGTTCCCGGTTAATTTAGCTTGCTTCATAACTCGCCATTGTTTGATGTTGCCTGTACTTCCAGGATCAACCAAAACACGCTTAATTTTGAAATATAAGCAGTAAGTGAACTTACCAGTGCATCAATGTGTGGTAGGAGAAGTCCGTGAGCATCTTCTTCCGTGAAGGTGATATCATCTTCGAGACTTCCAAAACCCTCTTCCCATGAGTCACTAATATTTTTATCTTTATTTTCTTCCAAGAATGTCACCCCAATGACCTTTCACCCTTTGAACATCATATTGATTGTCATCCGAGATGACCCCGCTGCTATATTTGAGGGCTCTGCGTTATCCTGGTTCTAACCATAATTTATTTTGGCGCAGTCACTTTGAAACTCTCTAAGATGGAATTTTTTTTAACAACGTCGCTACCTCCTCGCGAAGATGTTGGCAATCCTTTTTTTTTATAGTCGGGAGTCCCATGGAACTCACGCCATAAATTAGGATCCCTTTAGCTAGAATCCAATCGGATTTTGTTTCGAAAATCATGCTTCTTTAATATTTCTCATTTCTAACACCAATTCTACCAGGTTGATGTTAAAGTTGTACTCTGATAATCTGGGATATGCGGGATCTCGGGCCCTAGCATTACTTTTTCCTACAATGACCTATTGTTTCGGCCATGATCTTCTCTTCTATCGGAAGTGAACCTATCCGATGACTGAAATCCTTTAGTGCTACACACATCGACCATTTCATACGATAGAAAACGACCCCTAGAGGACCTCCAATCTACATCAGAGTCACTTTAAAACTTATGCTGATTTTTATCTCGACCCCGTCCCTTGGTCGATACTGATGAGCCAAGTTGATCGTCTTCTATCCTTATTTTTGACTCATGGCGGTTGTGGACATCCGCCCATGTGGTTTCCTATAACTCGAGCAAACTCTCCTTTAATTTTTGGGAGGAATTAGAACTCAGTGGATTTAGACCATTCGTGAACGCCTCTGTTGCCCACTATCCGGAACCGCCATCAATAGCATCATTTCTTTCTGGAACTAGATTGCGGATTCCTGCAGCAACTCAGATTCATCTTGCAAAATTCTGAATATGTCCGCCTTTCTGGTATGAACTTTTATTGCTCCAGCATGGGCCTAAATAAACAAATCTGCAAGCAATTCAAATGAATCGATTGAATGCTCAGATAAGAGGGAGTACCATGTTAGGGTCCCTTTTGTGAGGGTTTTGCCAAACGTCTTCAGTAGAGCCGACTCGATCTCATGTTAAGCCAAATTGTTTCCTTTTACTACCATTGTGTAGTTTTTGATGTGCTCCTGCGGATCTGAAGTCCCATCATACTTTGGTATGTTCGGCATCTTGAATCTCTTTGGAATTAACTCTGGTGCTGCATTTGTCTTAAACGGCAACTGTGTGTACTTTGTGGAATCTGGACCCTTTAATATCGGCAGCACACCTGAAATCTTATCCATCCGAGCGTGAAGCTCCTTCATATATTGATCCATTCATTTATTCATCTCTATCATGAGCTCGATTTTAAAAGGATCACTCAAGTTATTGTTCCCATATCCACTACTGATACCCTCGGTTCCTTCAAAAATGACCTCATCCCTTGTAGTGTCATTGTTCCTTTGTGCTGCCTGATTTGTGGGATTGTTGGAATGAACTAGGGCCCTTCCATTAGCGTTGTTGGAAGCACCCGATAACGCCTACTTCAATTCCGTCATCATATGATTTGCCTTGAGAGGTGGTCCATGATTGCTCTTTGTTGCTCTCTAAAGAGTGTAACCGTTTTCACAACATGTTCGTCCTCCACGTCAATAGGAGTTGGGCCCCGCATATGTTGAGGATATTGCCCTTCGTGAATTGGAGTTGTCTCATCCCTTTGGTTATAGGTTATTTTGCTGATGGAATTATCACCCGAGACACCTCTTCCCGTTCATCGTGTGCTCCAACGTTGTGAACGTTTTTGACATTATTGGTTTCCATATCTGATTTTTTCTTAAGAAAAAACTGAAGTTCATTAGTAACAATCGAACGGATCAAAGCGATTACGCAGTTGTCTATGCTCCACGATGGGTGTAAACTATTTATCCATAAAATGATACATTTGAATTTATTACGTGGTTTATAGACTAGTGAATCGATTTGATCCAAAAATTAAAAGAGAATAAAAATAAGATCAACTACTAAAATTCAAAAAAAATAGCAAGCCTGATTCTGAGCTCGGTCTTTCTAGAGCAAAAGCAGAAGCAATGATAAAATTGTTTTGATTGAACGTAAAATGGTATATTAAATCTTTTTGTGCAGAACGTTTCTTGTCCTACAAGGGTTTTCAATCCTACTATTTATAGCTATCTTTAGGGAGACAAGATCTTAAAATCAAGCTCCTCTTGAATGAGAATAAAAACGTTATTGATGAGTGCATACCGGCTGGTCTTTGAATGCAGATATTCTCTGTAATGGCTGCTCATTAAATGTTATTTGATGTCAATCTTTTGAATCTTTACCATCGGTTGTGCTTCCTTCAATATCCATCATGTACCGGTTACATACTTCACACTTGGTGCCAGTTATTTGCTAGCTCATCTTTTATCTGTCTTCGGTTTCACATGTCAATTTATTATTCGACCACCTATTATCAACCGATTTTACCCCATACATTTGGCAATAAGATATGCTAATGGGAAGACTGCAATTATTGAGATATAAGATATGCTAATGGGAAGACTGCAATTATTGAGATATATCGAATGGTATTGGCTAGGAGTATCTACTATATATGGTAAGAGAGAAACCAAAGAATCTTTTAGGGAAAACAAAGAAGTGCTAAAGTGATTGCCAGGATGTGTAAGTTATTTTTCCTACGTGTATGTGGCCCAATAGGTTTAAGGCTCATAATTAATATTTAATTAATGAGTAAATCTCATTCGTCCGATCGGTTACTTGATGGACGTATCAGATTAAGTGGGAACCTCTATAAACTGGTCCTCTTTCTGCCCATTAGGGTTACCGTATTTTATTTCTTTCTTCCATCACTTAAGGCAGCGGTAACGAAAGCTAGGGTAAGGGGAGAGAAACAAATTCCAATTAACGCTTCCGCTTCGTGATAATGGCTTACAGTTCAGGTATGCTTTCTACAACAATTTTATGCAAGATTATCATGTTCAAGATCCTGGTATAAATTAAAGTTTATGCTTACATGTGGTATCGTGAGCCTTGATATTTGAACTGATAATCTTCGTAAAAGAAAGATTATATTATTATGTCTCATGTGTAACTATTTAATGGGTTTTGTAATAATTACGAATCTGGTTTAAGTTACTTTAATTTGAGGACATTGATATAAAAGGTGAAATTTCCTTTTATGAACAGTTAGCATGTTAGGCGAAAGAAAACAACCATATGAGATTTCCTTTTACGAATCTTTTGTTTTCTTTCAATATGCTTGAGATGCAGATAAGAATAACAACCATATGGGATTTGTGCTTAACGTAGAACCCTATGTCTAAAACTAGGATATGTGTTGTATTTGGCTTAGCAGCTCAAAGGAATTTGATCAAATCTGGGACAACTTTCAAAAAAATAAAATTAGGTATAATGTTCAAATCCGTACAAACTGTTTGGTCCCTCTTAAATTCTGTCGATTTAGGTTTACCCTTTTTTTTGGGCCATTTACATTTATACCCGCTTTTTGTGTCACGTTTTAACTTGTGCCCGCTTTGCAAAAAAATTGCAAGCATACCTGCTTTTTCGCTTAACTTCAGCATACGGGGCTGAAGTAGCAACGGCAATCACGCAAAACGTTAACATTCTAGTAGCCGGGCCTGAAGTTCAACTCTAGAGCTGAAGTTTTTGTTTTGTAACTGTCGAACTTCAGCTCTAGAGCTGAAGTTTTGGTTTGTAACTGGCGAACTTCAGCTCTAGAGCTGAAGTTTTTGTTTTGTAACTGTCGAACTTCAGCTCTAGAGCTGAAGTTTTTGTTTGTAACTGGTAAGTTTTTGTTTGTAAGCTTCAGCTCTAGAGCTGAAGTTTTTGTTTTGTAACTGTCGAACTTCAGCTCTAGAGCTGAAGTTATTTTTTTGTAACTAGGATAGCTGAAGTTTTTGCCTTTGTAACTAGGGAACTTCAGCTATAGAGCTGTAGTTTTTATTTGTTTATAATTTCATTTGCCACACCATCTTGACCAAATTGAAAGAAAATTAATTAGAGACAGCAGGAGAACACTGCACCACAAACTTGCAAACTGTGTTAGATTCTTTACTTTGCATAGGATCCACGAAACACTATAAATGTCCTCAGAGAAATTAGAGAGGCAGATTCAATCCATTCATTCATTCACTTTTTTGTCCTTATACAGAACTGTACGATTATTTGCCTGAGTAGTTTCATGACTTATACTGCTACTACTTACTAGATTAGGTAATTACGACTAATAATCAATCAAACAACTCACAAAGTCAGTTGTGTGTATATATATATATGCATGTCACGTGATAGGAAGTGACGAAGAAAGCAAATTGGTTGTTTCAGATGTATAGGTTAGCGTGAAAATTTATAGGACTCACAGGAAAAATAA